ACTACAGATGAACCTCCTACACCGTGCTCCACAACAAAAAGGCAAAAATACAGTTGCAAGAAAAAGTATGTGAACCCCTTGGGATTACGTGGAGTTTTGCATGAATTGGGCATAAAATGTGCTCTGAACGTCATCTAAGTCACAACAATGGAAGAACACAGTCTGCTGAACATAATACTACACAAACATTAGATGTTGCCATGGTTTAATTGCACATAACATGTAAACATTCACAGTGCAGGGAGGAAAAAGTATGTGAGGCCCTAGCTTAATGAATTCTCCCAGAGTTAATTGGAGCCAGGAGTGAGCCAACCTTGACTCCAATCAGTGTGATGATATTGGATGTGTTGCTGACAGCTGTCCTGCCCTTAAAAAACACACACCTGTTTTGGGTTTACTGGTTTCAAGAAGCATTGTCTGATGTGAACCATGCCTCGCAGAAAAGAGCTCTCAGAAGACCTACGATCAAGAATTGTTGACTTGCATGAAGCTGGAAAGGGTTACAAAAGTATCTCCAAAAGCCTTGATGTTCATGTGCCCACGGTAAGACAGACTGTCTACAAATGGAGAAAAAGTTTAGCACTGTTGCTACTCTCCCTAGGCGTGGTCGTCCTGTAAAAATGACTGCAAGAGCACAGCACAGAATGCTGCATGAGGTAAAGAAGAATCCCAGAGTGTCAGCTAAAGACCTACAGAAATCTCTGGCACATGCTAACATTTTTGTTGACACATCTACAATAAGGAAAACATTAAACAAGAATGGAGTACATGGGAGGACACCACGGAGGAAGCAATTGCTGTCCAAAAAAGAATATTGCAGCACGTTTGAAGTTTGCAAAAGAGCACCTGGATGTTCCACAGCACTACTGGCAAAATATACTGTGGACAGATGAAACCAAGACTGAGTTGTTTGGGAAGAACACACAACACTATGTGTGGAGAAAAAAAGGCACAGCACCCCAACATCAAAACCTCATCCCCACTGTAAACCAGTTATTAAGTCTAAAGGTTCACATACTTTTTCCTCCCTGCACTGTGAATGTTTACATGTTATGTGCAATTAAACCATGGCAACATCTAATGTTTGTGTAGTATTATGTTCAGCAGACTGTGTTCTTCTACTGTTGTGACTTAAATGACGTTCAGAGCACATTTTATGCCCAATTCATGCAAAACTCCACGTGATCCCAAGGGGTTCACATACTTTTTCTTGCAACTGTATATTCTCTACTTATAGAGAAGTCACATACCGCATGGACCAACCACTTCCTCTCACTAGCAAAAATCTCCGCTGGTTATCAGACAAATAGCCAAAAGGATGGAAACAAAAAGCGCATGAACTGGGTACTCCTCATTCTTTCTTAATCATCATCACATCCATGTTAAGAGGAAAGAAAGAACTTATAGTGTAAGACCAACAGAATACTTTCTTTAAAAAAAGGTAAAAAAGCTCACATATATTATTAAGTTACAATGCTGTACATAGAATTTTTATTCAGAATGACAAATGGGAAACTTTTGGCTATGTAGTGACGTCATGGCGTTCTGCTGAACCCTACGGGGTTCATCAGAGTTGATGTGATTAGGGACTCTGAAGCTGTGCCAGATCACCACGTATTATTTATCCTTCCTCGGCCATGGAAAATGAGGAAGTAAATCACATATGCAAGCCTAGCCTCACTTTACCATAGCGGTAGTGGCTTCTTGAGCACCATTTCAGAATTAAAAATTATTATAACAATCTTACAAAGCTGGATATAAAAAAAAATGATTCATATGTTTACACAAAAATAAAATACTCCATATACAGTACTTTATCCAATGCCTGATGAAGGAACATAAAATGATATCCATATACAAAACATCACATAAATATATGTATAAAACTCCCCACTTAATATAACATTTTTTACATGAACACATATTAAGTATCCCAAAAGGGATTAAAAAAAAAAAAAACCCATAAACAATGAAAAATGAAAAAAGAATGCATATGAGAGCAAACCAATCCTCAACAATAAAACTTAAAATAAACCCATATAATATTATTCCCAAACAGACAATGATATTATTAATAGAATGTATATTAAATATTGGATTTATATTCCATTTTCTAAAAAGAATAAAAAAAGAAATAAAAACTTTAAAAGGTATATGGAAACAAGATAGAGATGGTCAAAAACTAGACAAACCAAGGTGTCTAGATTACTAAACATTCAGGCCACGTGGAGAAAACCCTCATAAATTCTACATCTATGTGGTTTCCAGCTTGGAGATCTCTCTTTTAACTCCTCCAGTGTGATGTATATTTATCTATTCCAAGGAAGAAGGTGCCTGTGGGTTTTTTTTTATAGGGAACAGCTGCATAATGGTTTGGGAAACTATGCCCTATATGCTCACCTAAGTGAATACTCAAAGCCCACATAGTCCTCCCCACATATTGCAGGCCAGATGGGCACTGCAACAAATAGACTACATTGGCGGAGACACAGGTAATAAAAGATATGATGGATTACATTTTAGAAGTAGCAGTAGATGTAAACGAGCATGTCTCTTCAATCTAACACATCGCTTGGACACTATTTTCAAGAGTATGATCTATCCTGCGGTTTAAAAATTTTTGCCTGTGAAGACTTTTCAAAACTAAATCCCTTTAATAGATGGGGACATGGACACTGGAGGGTTTAAAAGAGGCATTAGCCAAATTAGAATGTTGAATCTCCATTATTGTGATATTCTTTTTACAGTATCTGTCACTGGGTTAGTGATGAGATAACTCTTAACCAGGGGTGGACTGACAACTCATGGGGCCCCCGGGCAATAGGGGATCATGGGGCCCCTGTGTCCTTGGCCAAACTCAAAAAAGCCTATGAAAAAGGTACCAGGGGCATCTCATGGGGCCCACTGCTGACCCCGGGCCCTCGGGAGGTGCCCGAGTTTCCAAATGGTCAGTCCGCCCCTGCTCATAACATTTAATTTGCAGATATATTCCTGAATATCCATGAATGGGAGGGGCAGGGCCCCTTATCCAAGATATTCCTTATGCCCCGTACACACGATGAGAATATTGGACGAATGATCGTTTACTTTTTTGAATGGTAGGCTCATATCGAAAGTGAAGAGGTTACCAAAGTTATGAAAATTCTTGTACAACAGAAAGAAAATTCAGCAGAAGTGATGTAATGTATTCGTATTGTATTTTTGGACGAAAACTGTACGGATTCAATTAAAAAATGTATGATCTGGTATCATACAAGAAAAACTTTTGTGCTTGTCCCTTCAAATAATTTCAGATGAAATCTGTGTACTAGCAATCATATTATCGTACCATCACTTCAAAAGTGGTATTTTTTTTACGATTTTCTAATCTTCTGTACTAGGCTTTAGTCAGTTTGTCAGGGCAGGAGCTGAGGAACAGACAGGCAGGCCTAAACAATGTAACGCACTGGCTGACGACAACCACCACCCACAGACCGAAGTCCCTCAGGGCGCGGAGTCTAAGTCCCAGGCTGCCCTTCACCAGGGCCCCTGATGGTGGGGATGGACTTGACGCAGCCAGGAACCAGGTCGCGGCCCCCGAGACACCTCAGTTGCGGTAATGGCCGCCGCCAATGGCGTGTAGCTGGTAGAAAAGACAATAGAGTAGTCAGACAGGCCGGGGTCGACAACAACGGGACAAAACGGTACAGGACAGCAGATGAGAATCACAGGTCACGAGCCGGGTTCAGCAACGGAGGGTCAGATCAAAGGAGGACACAACGAATAGTCGAGTCACAAGCCGAGTGAGATTCCAGGAGAGTCACGAGAGTCAGAACAGAGTAATAGCAACACAAAGACACAAGACACAAGTGCAAAGAGCATGTGCGGACCACAGGCTTATATGTCATCAGCCACACCCCTCTGGGGGATGGACCACAGAGACCTGAAGGCATAAAGGATTTCCACCATGCTCAGCAGAAATCCAAGATGGATGCCAGCACATGGAGTAACATAACCTCTGGGAAAAGGTAGGACCTTGACACAGTTCTAACTTATTCCAGTTAAATATACCCATGCCCTTTACATCTTCGTGTGTTTTGTCATTTGTGTTCTGCTCCACCTCTGTTGTCTATGTTCTGTGCGTCATTTTGATCTGGAAAAACCCTAATATTTTTAGGTCTCCTAGGGTCATGCTTGTAGTCAGACCTGCCCCCTGAGATATCCTGTTGGGAATAATGAAGGCGGGGGCATCATTATATCTTCCATAACTCACCTCATATGAGTTGTTATAATCATCTTCCTTTCTGTCTGTCAATTGATGGTATTTTGACTCCCAGGGTATCTGTTCTTTATCTGCAGTGAACTAAATTCCTCTCGTTTTCTTGAGTCTGTATACTTTGGTTTGGGACACCTATACGAATATTTCTTATTCTTATTGAATGAATGAGATTTAAACTGTTCTTGCTGTACCCATCCCCCTTTAAGGGCCCTCAGTCTTCTCCATTCATCTATTGAAAATTCTTTCCTCTACCTCATCTTTGTGTATCTGATAAACTCCAGGCCAACTATTTATAAATGCTTTCACTCAAGATTCACACATCTTTCACGTTTCTAACAACATTCAACTGGAAAAATCTGTGAATTGTGGATGAAAACATTTATAAATAGACCCGTTTGTGTTTGTGAGCTGCCAACCAGAGCCCTTTTTGTATTTCAATATGGTTTACATATATAAAGTGAAGATGTATTTGACGGTTTATGTCACGAATCTAGGATCTACCTACATCTAGATGCAGTGCCTCCTACCTCCATCTCTCACAAAGGCATCCAAACAATTTCCCAATCTAGCCCCCGACCAAGCTTCATTGGTGGGACAGCAGTCAGAGAAATTAGAATTTTGTGTGCAAAAAAAAAAAAAAGCACTTCCAGAAATAAAAAGTCCAATAATGTAGTCCTAATAATATAAATAAAGTCCATCCATGTTTAAGATTAGTTAAAAGCAGGGGCGGACTGACAACTCATGGGGCCCCCGGGCAATAGGGGATCATGGGGCCCCTGTGTCCTTGCCCAAACTCAAAAAAGCCTATGAAAAAGGTACTGGGAGGATCTCATGGGGCCCCCTACTGACCCCGGGCCCTCGGGCAGTGCCCAAGTTTCCAAATGGTCAGTCCGCCCCTGGTTAAAAGGATTATCCATCCAGTAAGGGCAGGTTTCTTATATGAAGCAGAAGCTCCAAAACATGTAAAAAAAAGAGAGAAAGGCACCTCTAAGTGTAGACACTCTGTAAAATCTATTATTCAAAAGGTAGGCAGTTTACATGTAAAACAGGTTGAAAAGGCACACCTGAATAACACCACCGGCGGGAGGCCGCTTGTAGTCAAGATGCCACAGTACATCACTGGTGCTCTATTCAGACAAAGAAGCCAGCTGTGAGATGTCTGGAGACCGAAAGCAAGAGCTGGAGTGCAGTGCAGGGCGTGATGACATCACCGGGGAACTTGCAACGCAATTCTGAGCATGCGTGCTGTGCATGGATTGACAGCCACACTCCTTTCTAAAGCAATCGACTGGGAAGTGATGTAGCCTTGTATATATAGTACATGGAGCATACATGGGGCCCCAATATACAAATTCATGGTAATAACAAAAAATTATGAATAGGAAACTGTACATACTACAAAAAACAAATCTTTATATTCTTTACATTGTTTTTAGTAATATATACAGTTTCTTATTCTTTCTTAGTTACCCATGAAATCGTTTTGAATTTTTGAGGCCACGGTTATGCTCCATTTGCTATATATACAAGGCTACAGCGCTCCCCAGTAGATTGCTTGAGAAAAGAGTGAGGCTGTCATTCCATACACTGTGCGCATGCTCCACGGTGACGGCATCACACCCAGTGCTGCGGTCCACAAACGTTCCAGCCCTTTCTTCTTCTGATAAACTGGCTTCAGAGATTTCTTACACAGGCTTCTCCCTCCCCAATCTACTGTATATGCTAAATACCGGCAGCTGAATAATGCGGCTATTTGCGTTAAAAGATGCACTGGATGGAAGAGATGGTTGCGGCATAGATGAATGCCTGCATTTCTAACCTTCCTCTAGTGTCTATTGGCAGCTTTAGATTTATTATTCTGCTGGCATATTTGCAAACTGTAATACAATTTACTCTAGCTGTATATTTGAATTGTATTGATCCATAAATATTATTTTATTTCACCAATTTCATTCTTTTTTGCACCTTAGTAGTGCTGATCTCATACAACTTTTCATAGCCACTTGCTTGCCTATGTACACTTGTCCTGGACTGGTCACTGCTCTGGGCCACCTTCCTGAGAGTGACAACAGAGGACTATGCTTGCTCAAGGTGTGTTGGCACAACCACCTGTAGTTTCCATCTGGGGTGCATGTAACAGTTTGACCGTACAGGAACACAATGAATGGTCCAAAAACCCCTATAGATGGTCTGGTGGGGGACTGTAGACCTCTTGATAGCTGGTGGCCAGGGGCAGACTGACAACTCATGGGGCCCCCCGGGCAATAGGGGATCATGGGGCCCGTGTCCTTGCCCAAACTCAAAAAAGCCTATGAAAAAGGTACCAGGGTCATCTCATGGGGCCCCCTACTGACCCCGGGCCCTCGGACAGTGCCCGAGTTTCCAAATGGTCAGTCCGCCCCTGCTCCAAAACAAGAAGTGCTTGAAGGCCCATAATGGCAGGATCTCCAGGTATTAGTTTAATAAACTGGAAAGAAGAACAAAGGAACGCAATACATGTGCTCCTGCGCTGGACAGTGGACTCCACAATGTCAATATCCCCACATGAGTAAGAAAGAAATGTAAGCCTTGCTGACCAGGGAAATCCAAAGAGAACTGTATATAGGAAACAAAAAGAGGACGCATGGGCCTAGTGCAGGCATGTCCAAAGTCCGGCCCGCGGGCCATTTACAGCCCGGGGGTCGGTTTAATACAGCCCTCCCTGCTCTGTGTAATGTGGCCCTCCCATGGCCCTCCCTTCTATGGCAGACAGTCTTCTGCTTGAGAGCAGAGGGCAGTGCGCATGCCTGACTGCGGCGCGTTCTCCCTGGTCTGTGTAAATGCGGCTGTCGCACGGCCCTCCCTTCTGTGGCAGAGAGTCCTCTGCTTGAGAGCAGTGCGCATGCGTGACTGCGCCGCGCTGGGAGCGACAGAGGGCGGTGACGTCAGGGCCGGGCTTCCAGCGTGAAGTGTTTTTCTCTTCCCCTCCCGGCTGCCGAGCAGAGACTTCAGCTCCAGCTACCTTTTTCACCCTTCACATTAGTGCAGGTAAGTTTTTTTTTAATTTATTTTCAATACATTGTGAAAACTCAGCTGTCAGTTGATCTTAATGTTATGAAATGAAAAGTATGTCGTTTGCAAATAACTTGGCATAAAATAATTTATTTGCATTTAATTGTAATGGTTCAAAGAATGTTCGGAAAAATGTTCGGCCCTCCACCATGTTCACTTCATCCAATCTGGCCCTCTTTGAAAAAAGTTTGGACACCCCTGGCCTAGTGCATTATCTTTAAAAATGAGATTTATTTCTAAATAGTAAAATACTCACAAGAGAAATAAAATCAAATGGAAAGCATGTCACAAAGGATGAAATGTGGTCCAAAAACCCCTATAGATGGTCTGGTGGGGGACTGTAGACCTCTTGATAGCTGGTGGCCAGGGGCGGACTGACAACTCATGGGGCCCCCGGGCAATAGGGGGTCATGGGGCCCCTGTGTCCTTGCCCAAACTCAAAAAAGCCTATGAAAATGGTACCAGGGGCATCTCATGGGGCCCCCTACTGACCCGGGCCCTCGGGCAGTGCCCGAGTTTCCAAATGATCAGTCCGCCCCTGCTGGTGGCTGATGCGTTTTGAGGTTGTACCTCTTCCTCAGAGCCTCTGAGGCCCGTGTGCCCTCTTTCTGTTTCCTATATATTAGTTTAATGAAAGCTGGACAGTTGAAAACGATTTCACCTCTCTGGATGTACTATTTCTGGATGTACTATATTTGTGTCTTAGGAGTCAATTCACTGAGAGATAAATACCGCATTCATTTAAGAGTTAAAATAATACATGCAGTATTTATCTCAAAAATAGTCAATTCGCTGAGAAAAATGCATTATTTACAGAATGCGTTAAATATTTATGAGCATAAATGTTATATTATTTTTGTCATTTTTGCAGGCTAACACTGCGTCTGAAGGCACACAGCAATATTGGGAAACTATGAAAACATTCTAGTGTACTTTCATTCATAAAACAATCTCCCTCTGAAGAAATAATACAATTTATGTACATTCCTGAGCTCAGAGAACATTTTCACACTGATACATCATATACTTTTCACTTTATGGTGAGTGCAGAATTCCTCTAATTGTTATTTTGTACACTTCTAAAATACCGCCAGTAAACACCCGATGATAAATAACGAATGTGTTTGTTTTTTAGTCAGTTGACTTTAATGATTTATCTCATGTTTTTTTTCCTTAACCTCCCTGGCGGTATGATTATGTCTGGAATTTTGTACCAAAAGCGGTACCATTTTTTTGCATGGAAATTTGGTGTTATGTATTGTAGGCCTGCAATTCTTAGTAATTACTTACTTAATAAATACTCATAAAAAATAATAATATAATAATAATAAATTTAATTCAATAATATAATCAAACCAAAAACACTGAAATGTGAAATATAGCGCCAAGTTCGCACATCGCTGAGCAAAGTCGCAAAATCGTTTTCAGTGTCTGATGAGGAATTTCCCCCACCAATCATTATCACTCAATTCTGCAAGTGGTTCTGATTTACTATCGCTGTTCTCTAGCCGGTCTAAAACCGATTTTGATGTAAAGGGACGCTTTTTGGACGCCATGGACGTTTCTCAGTTTCCAGGAAGAAAGAACAGTCAAAATGCAGGCAGGGGACAGGACAAAGCACTCGGGACAAAATGTATGTGAAATGTTTTGATACAGGAATGTTATACTATGAAATAATCGTTTTAAAAAAATTTCATTTTTGTTAAATTTTCAAATTTGCCGCCGGTTCCGGCGCCCGTACGTCCCGACGTCACAGGGACCAGAACACGGAAGCCAGATACCGGCATCGGCCGGAGGAGATGGCCGGAGATGCTGCAGGGGACGCATCGCGGGAGCGAAGGACATGGTAAGCGCTGTAGGGAATCCCTGAGCAACGCCGCATGTAAGCCCGAGTGTAGCTCGGGGGGGTTACCGCTTTTGGTACTGAAGCTTTACCCCGAGCTACACTCGGGAATACCGCCAGGGAGGTTAATTATCTCACTATTTTAACAAATGTGTGGTGTTTACCTAACATTCGATATTTTACTTTGATGAATTGACTCTTTTATTATCTCACGCAATATTTCCGAAAAATGAGTCATGTGACCTTCATACTGCATGCAATAACCTTTAGTGAATTGAGGTTTTAAACAAGCCCTCTGCTGCAGAAACAGCTGTGAGCTGGTATCTGTTTTGTTCAGTAGGTTACTAGCTTTAATGTAAAAGTGATCTAGGTAGCTGTAGAGCATCCTGATCACTCTTACAGTACTTGCAGTGAGGGAATAAAGTAAGTTTATACCAAAAAAATGCAGATTTGAATACATGTACAAAATGAAAGAAATGCTCTGGAAGAGAAGTTGTTAAAACTATTGTATTCAAATTCTAGAATTATATTGACATTTTTATATGAGGTTTTAGAGATTGGCTTTAAATCTACTTTAAAGTCCATCTCTACATCTGGTTAAAATAAAAGCAGCTCTTGCTGCAATATTTAACTCCTCTCCAGGACGGTCCCCCACAGTAACTCTTTGTTTGGCCTGTAAAAATGAGAATACAACACTGCAGAAATGGTGCTGGCATCATCATACCAGTGCCACTCTCTGAATCACTAAAGACTGCCCAACATCAGAGAGGATTTAAAGAGAAAGAAGACCATAGGTGTCATGTAATGGGTACGAAGACATCCAGAAAATGGTAAGTAATACAAAAAGCAAAAAATACAGCCAGGGGGGTCTAGGCTGGAGAAACAGTACTGGGGAATTAAAGGGGTGAGCCCTGCCAAGCAGAAGAGGGGAGCAATGAGGATAGGAGCCTGGTGTTGGTTTTTAGTTAGACACATTAACTTACAATCAGGGGAGACTGACAACTCATGGATGTGTGGACCGGAATTGCGTCAATGCGTTTCGCCCCTCCCACAGGGCGTTCTCAAGACGTCCATTTCCTGTCTCCACCGCCTTAAATAGCTCACAAATGGCCCACCCCTCACTACTGATTGGTCAACATTCCTCTCCAGGACTAGTGCTCACCACCTCCTGTGGGAGGGGCGAAACGCGTTGACGCAATTCCGGTCCACACATCTGACGTCACTTCCGGTGAGTGGAGCGCATGCCGGGTGGTGCGTTCCAGTGGCCATTTTGAGGGATTTAGGCTGGTCTTCTGCTGTTCCTCTGCTCTTACTGGCTTTTATTGATGTGAGAATCCTGGATTTTGTGGCTGTTTGCTGGTTCTTAATATCAGGCTGGTGTTGTCTTAATAAATGCGCCTTTTACAAGTTGGAAAAATGTGAGTGGCCTGGATTCTGTCTTCTGTTATAATATCTATCTGGCAATATTACACTATAAGTTTTTTTCTCTGATACGGTGGAGTAAACAAGGATACTCCGGTGAGGACCTAGGAGAAGATCTAAACCTGGTGGGGCAGGTTATCATTGAGCTGATGCAAAGAGGGTTTAGGACAGCAATGGGCAAACTACGGCCCGCGGGCCGTATACGGCCCGGCGGACCTTTTAATCCGGCCCGTGGAGCGTGATACTGTCAGGATGGCTGTCAGGAGACTGGTGTAGCATGAAAATCTGTCTCGTATGAGGATCTGTCCCCCTCGACGTATCTGCGCATGTGCCGGAGATCGCGATCGGCTGCTAATGCCTGAAACTGGCACATGCGCAGATACGTCGAGGGGGACAGATCCTCATAGGAGACAGATTTTCATGCTACACAGGAACGGCGCGGGAACACAGCGAGAGGAACGCGCGGAACAAAGGTAAGTGAATTGACACAGGGGGGACTTGGGGACTTAATATGGGGGATGAATTAATATGGGGGATGAATTACTATATGGGGGATGAATTAATATGGGGAATGAATTACTATAGGGGGGATGAATTACTATATGGGGGATGAATTACTATATGGGGGATGAATTACTATGGGGGATGAATTACTATAGGGGGGATGAATTACTATATGGGGGATGAATTACTATGGGGGATGAATTATATAGGGGGGATGAATTACTATATGGGGGATGAATTACTATGGGGGGATGAATTACTATATGAATTACTATATGGGGGATGAATTACTATATGGGGATGAATTACTATGGGGGATGAATTACTATATGGGGGATGAATTACTATAGGGGGGATGAATTACTATGGGGGATGAATTACTATAGGGGGATGAATTACTATGGGGGATGAATTACTATGGGGGATGAATTACTATATGGGGGATGAATTACTATATGGGGGATGAATTACTATATGGGGGATGAATTACTATATGGGGGATGAATTACTATATGGGGGATGAATTACTATATGGGGGATGAATTACTATATGGGGGGTGAATTACTATGGGGGATGAATTACTATATGGGGG